AATATGTACAGTAATCTCAGGGCAACCATAAGACAAAAGGAATCTCAAAAGAACGGAGATTTCTTATGAGTGGAAGAGCCACAGTTCTAAAAGTGGAATGTTATGCACACACATCAGGCACAGTGACATCCACAGGAGTGGGATATGTGGTGACACAGTTCCAGTGGCAGAACTAGTGCAAGGAAGAGGGTGGTAAGGCTTTGTGAAATGTAGAGATACAGAACTGTGAGCAGTTGGGGAGCTTTAGCTAAAGGACATAAGGAAATCTATTGCTCTCCAACTTTTCTTACCAATATACAAAAAATTAAGTTATTTTAACATTTTAAGAGAAAAGATATTACCACAGTGATATATGTGCACCCATGTTTATAGCAGCGCAATTTGTCATAGCTAAATCTTGGAAACAACCCAAATGTCCATCAGTGGAGGAATGGATAAAAAAATATGCGATATTTTTATACACTGGAGTATTATTCAGCTACAAAAAATACAAACTTAAGGCTTTTATAGGTAAATGGGTGCAACTAGAGATCACATTCTTAAATGAAATAAATCAGACCTGCACGCATAAACATCATATTGTCTCCCTATTGTAAGAACCTGAAAGAGTAAAAAACACCCAAAAAGTTCAATAGATATTGTGAAAGGGAAAGAAATTGTTCAAAGGAAGGAACAACTGGGATGAGGAAAAAGAGAAAGGAAAGAAAGAAGGAAGGGAAAAAATATATGTGTGTGCAAAGATAGCTGGAATAATTGTACTGCTGATGTCCATTGGTTTTTTGAAAGAAATAGTTAATGCTTAAATTTTTTGACCAATTTTGCATGCTTATACCTGGTAATCTGAACAACTAATCTGAAGACAAAAATATGCAATATAATAACCATTCTTGAATTCCTACCATCTTGTTTAGTGACACTGTGTATCATTTCCAATGGGTTGTTTTTAAATCACTTTTCATTCTCCTTAACTGTTTGATCAATCTTGCATTCTTACATTGGGTAACCTGAGCAACTTCACTAACTATAACAATATGTAATATAATAACCATTGTTAATTTCTATTATCTTGTTTTGAAATCCGGTATCATTTTTATTGTTTTTGTACTGTTTTGTTTTTATCTTTGTTGTTATTTTGGGTTTTATTTCCTCTTTAAAATTAAAAAAGACAAACACTAATGTGACTTCAACATTTTGCCTAAACTCATATAAAATGATTTTGCTATTCTGCATATCTCCCATGATCTCTAACTAATCTTCATACATTCTTACATATTAATGATACAATACCTACAAAAACTGTGCACTTCTCATCTACATTCTATAGGTAATTCCATGTGCTCCATGTGACTACATTTCATTCCTTCTGCTTCACATTCTTATCATGGTTCCTCTAAAATTTTTGTCATGCTTCCTGCTTGCTGACTCTATAGCTCTATAATTTTAGTGGCATATCCTCCAAGAAAAGGCCCTTGCAGCCATCTTGAAAAATCAACTCATACTTGAAACATTACTTTTCCAAAAATATTATGAACACCAATACACGTGGTCAAGGTGAAACCAAATTTCTAGGTCATTCTTAGACACCTGCAACTTGTTGAGGACATGATAAAAACTATCACAGTGAAAGACACATTGACATTAAATCTTCTCAAAATATCCCACCTCACTTGAAAATCACTTGTCCCATTTTTCTTACCACTCTCCAAAGTAGTTCTGGAAGTTCTCTTACCTGACTGTCTTTAGTTGTCATGGTTTTCTTGATGTCTCGAATTTATTTAAAATGTTTACATTTAATGGTCATTTTGACTTTGTAGTCAACTTTTACATAAATGTTTTTAATTTAAATATTCATTTCCATTACCCCCTGTATAATACAGTATAATATGATGAATCATTCAACTCTATATACATGAAAATATTTACATTGTCTTTCACAATGAAATCCCCTCAGAAATATCTTCTGAAAAAAATCCTTCTTCTACAATTTAAAAGATCTTGTCTTCTGAAGAATAACTGACTCTTGTAAAAACATTGAGAAGATAATTTTGAGTCTAAAATATCATTGGATTGTATTAACAGAAGGTTTTATTGAGTGAATTATATTTATAATATTGAAAACTACTTTGGTCTTTGATGACTCAGCCCTGACTATATAAACTGTGTTTTAAATCTTTAAATAAAATAGAAATGAATTAATTTCAACTTTTAGTGACAGTCCTCTGCTATGCTATCTGATGCTGTATTTCATTCATTTTCTTGCATTCCTTTGGCTCATACAATGTCTTTTCTTTATCACCTAGATCCATAAAAGATCAGAAAACATTGTTTCTATCACATTTAAATACCCATCTTTTAAAAAACCCCTGAGCAAATTTTCATCTAAGAGATGATCTGCCTTTACAGAGCAGCAGTCTTCTCAGATAAGATTTCAAAAACATCAAAGCAAGTCCAGGCATTCTGGGGGCCCGTCTGACTTGTCACATACTTTGAACAGAGGAATCACTGCTGAAACAACAAAGCAATGGTAAAATTGAGTTCTTTCCTGAAAAATCAAGCATTGAAGCAATTATCAGTAACCTCACATCCATAGGAAATATTGCACATATATAGGCATATAAAATGGCCATATACTTTGAAGTTTGTAAGTCATCTTGTAGGACATGATGCTATAATGAGAAAACACATCAATTGGAAACCATAATCTCCTACCTATATTAATACAAGATATTGTCTCAGAAGTGACCGGCACATACTAGGCTCTTAATCAACATCACTTATCTAACATAATGCCATTTGCCTAAATGATGTATCAGAGTAAACCATGTAGCCAAGGATATAGTTCAGTGGCATAAGCTCCTGCCTGGTGAGCTCAAGATGTAGAGTTTGATTCCCGGTAGCTAAATAAATAAATAAATAAATAAATAAATAAATAAATAAATAAATAAATTCATTCCAGAGTAAGCCATGTAAATTAAATAAATTTTATTTGATCAGTTGGAAATAGGAAAATAGAAGCTCGGTTCCTCTATGTACATATCCAACTCCAGATTCTGCCTTACAAAACATGACATTTTGTGGCATGGTACTACTTAGGAAATTTGTATGTATAAAAGATGGAGAACTGTCTGGGTCTTAGGTAATGCTGTCTGTTGCCAAATTTCCTTAAATATAGTAGACATGGTGAAGATAATGATAACTTTGCTTGACCAATGTAATAATCGAATAAGGTTCAGTCAAACTAAAATATTTTAATTAGACAAATCCTAAATACTTCTTTACACAAGTGGAAAGCTATAGTATATTACATAAAATTTAATAATTCACTTGTATATTCACTATGGTACTTTACTTGAGTGATAGTGTCAACTGTAAGGACCAAACTGCTCATATCTGTACAACCCACAACAGAGTATTTAAAAAGATCCCATACTGTACCACTGCCAACTTTCACTCTGAGGAAGCATGTTCTCTGTTATTTGACTGAACATTTAAATTCTGACCCCATGAACCACAATAGAAATTGCTGTTGTCCCTGGCCACTGATAATGCCTACTAATTTTCTGTACAGTATTGGGGTCCTGCGGTTCTTCCTAACAGCTCAATCTGCAGGACACTCATCATTTGTGTTTCCTAGCCTCGTCTCCATATGCACATAGGAAATGACAACTTCATCCCTGGATACTGAAAATAATCAGCATTCCCCAATTTGCATAAAATCCATGGGATTTTTCTAATCTATAGAAATGTTTTACACAGTATTTTCTGCTCACCTTTTTGTCAGTATCAACATTCACTGGTTTTGGCAGGAGGTTGACTTCACAACCTTTGAGGATACTAAAACCCATGGGTGCTCAGTCTCTTGTATGAAAAGGTGGAGCATTTGCAGTTCATAAATGCACTATCTTGTGTACTTTAAACAATCCATAATGTGCTTATAAAACATAATATAATATAATATAATATAGACTCTATGAAAGCAGTGTGTTATACTGTTTTATAGAGGAAATACTAACAAAAAAGTATTTATTTAGTCCAGGAGCATTTTATTTTACAGAACTGATTAGTTCCAAGTTCCATTCATGGATCAGAATCCACAGATACGCAGCAATGACTGTATGTGTTTTCATATATTTCATATGAAAAAGTAAAGTTCATGATTAATAAATGGAGAAACCCTGTAAATTGTGCTTCAATACATTTATATTGATTCTTCTCCATAGCTTTTTCTTTTCTTGTTTGGGTATGTGAATATATGAAAGAAAGAAACAGAGAGAAAGATAGAGAAGTAGGTTAACCAGAAACCTAGAGTCAAAAAATATGTCAGACCACACTTTAAAAAAGTTATTTGCAAAGTATCACATAATCAGTTATTTTCATATCTATCCTATGTGAACACTGTGCAGGCAATAACGAGCTCATTCATCATGAGCAGGGGTAGGATATTAGGTTTTTGGATAACACTTTTCAAGGAAACACATGATAACATGGGATGAAAGAAGAATGAAAGAAAAAGAGAAAAAGAAAGAAAGAAAGAAAGAAAGAAAGAAAGAAAGAAAGAAAGAAAGAAAGAAAAAGAAACAAAAGAAGAAGAAAGAAGAAAAAAACAAAACAAAAGGATTTGTCCCTATGGAAGAATAGAAACAATAAATAAAAATGGTATACTATTTTCATGACTTGCATCATAACATGGAAATAGGTCATATGTACAATTAACTATATATATACAACCAAATTCTTAAAAATAGAACAAGTGCTTCATTTTAAAAGCCTATAATTGAATCATACAATCCTGGCATAACAGCAAAATTATCTCAGCTATGAGGGCCTTGTTTTCTCAACAGAGATATTCATGACCTTATCTGAAGCTGATTAGTGAGATAATATGTGTGGCTTTCCCCACCCACCACCATGGAAGTATAAAAGGCTCTAGGCAGACGGTGACATCCAGACACAATATACCTACTTCCTAGTTCTTTACAGAACTGTCCACTCCTGACGACATGTGCTACTACGGCAGCTACTATGGTGGCCTGGGCTATGGCTATGGTGGCCTAGGCTGTGGCTATGGCTGTGGCTATGGCTATGGTGGCTATGGCGGCTATGGTGGCTATGGTGGCTATGGTTATGGCTGTTGCCGCCCCCTGTGCTGTAGAAGATACTGGTCCTATGGCTTCTACTGAGGAATTTCTACAACTTCTTAACCTGTTGACTACAACCTCCTGTTTTACTAGAGTATTCTTTAACTATCTTCACATGATAAATTTTTAAGCATCTTCAAAACACCAACCATACACTCAATTCTCTGAAAAGCAAAGAAAACACAGCATGCCGTTCGGATTCATCTGTATTAGTTGGATCATGTGATACTTTGGAAAAAAGTTTCTGTATTGTTTTGATTCTTGATTTTTGCATTGTCAAATAAAGATGTATTGTTAAATAAATATTTCAACATAAATATGGCTTTGGTACTGTTCTACTACCTTATGAATTTTGGTTATATATTTGCATATTTGTGTGTGGTTTAATCACATGTATGCAGTTGTGGTGTCCTCAAAGAAAATGGAAGAAGGAGAAAGGGAGATAAAAGGGGTGGGGAATGCAGAAAAGGAATAGGAAGCTCTTTTGTGATAATCAGAGTTCTAAAATGAGTAAGAAAAAGTATCATATCTTTCTTACAGATCATCAAATTTTGTTTTATATACATCTCACCCACCGATTTTGTATGTTTATGCTCCCCACCTAAATTACAAAAATGGCTATTTCAACAATAATATCTGTGTTCACATCAGATCATAGAAAATTGTGTGTATCTAAATTCTCTGTGCATCAGTTACAACAAAAGTGGTTAGACTGTATCAGCTAGAGCTCAAACTCTGAAAAAGGTTTCTCATTTTTTAAAAAAGATTCTGCCTGGAGAATGATACTAGATGTTGTCTTAATCACTTTTCTCATGACTTCCACAAATACCTGACACCCTAAATTAAAGGAGGAGATTTTTATTTGGTCTCAGAGTCAGCTGACTCCAAGGCAGAAATGTCAGTGTGATATGACCTCAGCAGAGCTTAAGTTTTTCATATCATGACAGCCAAGAAGCAGAGGGAAAGGAGGAGACATGGAAGGAGATATAGCTTTCCATGTCACACCACAGTAAACCAGCACCTAATCAGCCTCCTCACCTACGAGCACCCTCAGCTTCCGAGGCAGTAGTAGACTAACATACTGATAGGTTCAGCACCACTGTGATTCACTCACCTTTCAAAAGCCCTGCCGTTGAGTGCATAAACCATTCCTGGTGTTACTATATAGAAAACGACAGGAAAAATGATATTCTGGCTTATCAATATGGCTTCAAATAGCTTTTGAACATACAACAATTCATTCTATACATTCACAAAATAATATGCATTTTATATACATCAAGAATAATTTTGTCTATAATCATGAGATAACTGTTCAGTAACAAATTTTTAGTTTTTTTACCCCTAATCCTAGCCATTATAAATATGCTCATGAATATTAATTTTCTCCAGATTAAAAGTGCTTCCATTCTAAAAGAAATTAATTTTCACCTGGGTTTAGCAGCATAAAATCCAAAGAGAAGCTTCTTTCTTTCTTTAAGAACCCTCTAATATAACAAATTAAAATAACACATCATTTTTAATTTTTTGTTTTTATTTTTTATTCTCTTTAATAGTTTGGTTAATTTGGCATTCTTACATCTGGTAATCTGACAAACTTCAGTGAAGATAAAAATATGTAATAAAACAACCATTGTTTTTTGTGTTTGTTTGTTTGTTTGTGGTTTTTCTCCGGTACCGGGAACCGAACTCACAACTTTCCGCTTGCCAGGCAGGTGCTTTTGCCGCTGAGCTAAATCCCCATGCCGTATGACAACCATTGTTAATCCCTATCACTTTGTTCTGGAATCCTGTGTCCTTTGTTTTGCTTTGTTTTGTTTTTGTCTTTGTATTGTTGGTATTTTGCTATTATTCTTTTTAAAAATTCTCTTTAAAAATAAATAATAATAACACAGATCTCGACTGTAAAATTTATTGAGCTGTACCCTTATAATAGGTTTCTTTTTATGCTAATTATATTTAATACATTTAATTAAAAATTTAAAACGATAGAAAAATATAAATCTATGGCTGAGTATCCTTATTTCCATTAATACTTCATCTATAAATAAAAATCTGACACAGCAAAGGGATACATGGCTTATTTGACTCCTTATATATTGTCATACACTTTTCAAGAGAAATGTCCCTAATGTACCTATAAGTCATTTGTGAAATATAAACACTGATTTTGTAAAAAGGGATTTAATACTTGTGGATGAGCCATCAATTTAACCTTAGTGTGTTTCATTGTTACATCTGTGGCAAAGACAAAGATATATTTTCTATCCATAAAATGCCCATTTATTTTCTGGACTCTTTGAAAACACTTACTGAAGAACAACATCAATTTAAATATCCTCTACATGCAAATATGATAGTAACTTGCCACCAAGTACCAATAGCATAGCTCATTTTCATCATGAACAAGAGTCAGGAAATAAATTCCTACAAATAGGAATATTCAAGAATAGAAAGGAGAGGGAGGGGCTGGGGA